TTATTTAAATGGAAGAAAAAAAACCCCTTGTTTATGGTGAGTGTGGTCAAGCACTGGGACAGGTTGCCCAGAGATGTTGTGGAGTCTGCATCTTTGGAGATCCTCCGAATCTGAGTGGACACAGCATGACCAGCCTGCTTTAGCAGCTCTGCGTTGAGCAGCGGGATTGGACTAGGCCATCTCCAGTGGCCACCCCAACTATTCTGTGCTTCTGTGTGATTCTATGATGGCAAATAAATTGCTATGAATACATCTTTGTTCCAATACAGTAGAATTAGCATGTCTGTCTTCCTTGACATTTATTCTGAAAAACCTCTAAAAATTTTATGCCCTCAAATCATCTCCTACTGTATATTTCAGATCATCTATTATATATTTATGGTCATAAACAGATTTCAAAAACGTTTTTACTACTTTTTATTTCTGCTGAAACAGCTGAGGGGGGTCAGAGGAAATATACTCTTCCTTTTGCCCATCAAAAGGCATTTCCTGCTGAACTCCAGTCCCTTATTCATAGGTAAATCCAGTGATGCATATAGAGGTAGAGAGCTACCCAGGAGCTCCTGAACTGAAGGTAACAGGGATCCTATAGCACTGTATTAAATCACTGCTCAACCTGTACAGCTGATCATAAATAGTGAAAAGAAGAATCTAGTCTGAATTTCAGATTTGGGATTACATTTTCAGAGACGTAGACTGAAATCTTGAATTTTGAGCACACTTGATATAAAGTAATTCCAAGTAAAATATTCCAAAAAACAAAATTCCTGTTCAGAAAAGAACAACACCTTTTGATAAGGTGCCACCTCTCTCTCAGAGATAACCGTAGTTTTAACAACTGTTTTATTGCCATGTTTTGCAATGTTATGGCAATCTATCAATATTTGGGATATATTTTTAAAAGTCTACTTACTGGGATTGGGTGTTACGTTGGAATTTCAGCGCTTATTAAAGAAATAAGTACTTCAGCCCTTAAAATTCCTGGAATCTGATAACTTGCAAATTGTATTGTGAGATGACATTTCTTTTAAAAAAAAAAATCAGATCTGAATGTTAACAAGCAAAACAAATAATTTGAGATACATTTGCACTTACATGGTGATCTGCCAGCCATGCAACTCCAGGCTAGTGCTCCCAGCCTTTAACAAAAGAACTTTTTCCTTTCCCTCATGCTACTCGTACACCCCGCAGTTCTGCTATTTTCCCCTATCCTCCTCAGCACCTAATGAGCAGAGGGGCCCTGAAAACAGAGGTGTCAAAGAGCCTGACGCTGCCTATTGTCCTCTCTGTGTGCTGTGACCACTGTCCCTGCCTCCCGATGCACTTTACCTGTTGGGAACCAATGCAACAAAAATTCATCTGCCAAACAAATGGGGGGACAGCTGCACTACAGGATTGACTCTTGGCATTAGCACTGAAGGTTTCAAAGGCCAGATTCTACCATGAGTTTGGTGCTAAGCATGTCCTCGGTGGGCTCCTACCACCGCGTGTCCATATGGCAGTGTCTTCATTGGCATTACACAGCTGGGTTACAGCGAGTAGAAAGCAACTTTCCTTTGTTGTCTACGCATGAAAAAAGAAAACTGAACTGCAGCAGTACATCACTATAAGGAAACTTCAGAGTAAGATGAAACAGAGAGGGACAGGATTGGGGTTAGAAAGTGATGCAAGGAAAGGCAGGCAGCTACCACGCCCTGGAGAAGTGCTATAATGTCATTGAACACCGGGGGGCAACCAAGCACCCAGCCTTCGGGGAGGAGAGTACTTCATCCATAGAAAGGCAGCAGCCCCATTCCCTCTCCTCCTTGGAGCAGACATAGCCTTTGATAATTACCCTTTCAAAAAGCAACCAATTGTTTAGAAAAGGTCGCAGATATCTCTCCCTGAAAATAACAGGCAGGATCTGCTTATCTGAGTCTACTGTGCAATCCAGAGTGGAAAGCACTGAATTTTTTGTTCCCGATACTGCAAGCACTTACCTGGAGCCACGCAAAGCAATACTCTCTGGTTTGATGTCTCTGCACGATGTGAAGTCATTATCTTTAATACACAGGTAAAATATTAATACATGGGGAGGTAAAAAGTTCATTTCCAAGAAGAAACTTTAGGAAATACAACTGATTAACACACCTTGTGTACCTAAAGGAGCAATGTATGAAACTGAATACACCACAGAAGGCAACAGAATTACAAATCACTTTTCACAGTTTAGTCTTGGGCAAGTGGCCCCAAACATTTGCTGCTTAAATATACAAAGAAGGAGCAGCTAGGGAATAAGAAATGAATACTGGAAACTTAGAGGGAAAAGTTTTGTTTTATAGATCATTTTTTATAGCTTTATCATGCCAAAAATCATTTGAAGACATTTTACAGCAGATACTTCCACCCTTTTCCTCCATGAAGCAATCCCTCTACAGTTCAGAAATACCAAATGTCATCATTGCCACATCTCCTAATTACACTATTCTCCCTATTTTTGACATGCTGCAGGGACTGGTACCGATTCATAGGCACCGATGCTAAAGCTGTGAGTTCTGCCAAGGCAAAGACATTTGTGATTCGTCCTGACTCATGTACTTTATCTGGAAGAATAGTGTCTCCCACAAACCACCCGAGTTGCTTGTTTTCAAGGAAGTCAAAGAAACTTAATGAGATCACTGTGAAAGGCAGAATGAATATTGGAAAAAAACCCAGTTGTGACGTTACTAACACTGCAAGTCCTCTAAACAAGAGAACCAACATTTCCTTGAATGGTTTGCTTGCATGAGATGCCTGCTTGTTAAATGGGAATAACGGGCAGGCATTCGTAAGAGAAAGAAAAAGGAAAAGTGTCATGAAGATAAGATGGCAGATTTGTTTCCTGCCTCATTTCATTCAGCCATGACTAGTTCTGTTAAAGTGGGAGGGAGGAGGGGTTGGTTATCTCAAGACATCTCGTCTTCATCTAAAAGTGTCATTTGCATGAACACGATATAGAGAAGATCTTTATTTATTTGGTTTTATATATATGGAAATAAAACCAGAAGAGAAAGTTCAGACCCAGGGTACTTCTAACTTTGAAACTCACATCATTGCACTAAAAGCTGATATTAAGTACAATAACTGATCATATTGATAACTCAAATCCTGAACTAATGTAAAAGGACAGAAAAGGTGGAACTTCTCAAATTAGTAGCACCACAGTACAGTTCTTCAATGCCTTTAATATTTTTAACATTTTAGTATTTCTATTGCTGAAAGACGTACTTATGTTATCCCTTCTCATGGATTAGTAACACTTTACGTTGTTTTCAGTAACACCTGAAATACATTTTCGACTTCAGAATGAGCACCATCATAATTTTTCTGTTTTAAACACCTTTTTTCAAATTGTACATAGTTTTTTGTCTGCTTGCTATTTTTGATGAAGACCCATTAAGAAAGATATTATTTTGAAGTCTTAGAAACAAGTTTAGGAAGTTTTTATGGAGAGATTTCCAAAGAAAAACTGACTCTATTCTGTTCTGTGTTCTGTAGCATGCAGTGACTTTTAAAAGGAAAGATCACGAGAAAGATGATAAAGTGAGTTCTTGAAACAGTTTTCTCCGAATAAATTTGTAAATAAAAGCATTGATATATGTGATGGTCACATCTCTCTCCTGTCTGTGGGTTCACAATTCTTGTTATGTTGCTACAGATCTACAGTCACTCCATGAGCCTGAATCAATGCCAGCTTTCTCTTTGTGTAACAGAGGAGAGAGAGCACTGACCATTCAAATTTTAATGTTCTGATGGCGTTAAACCTTCAAAGAAAATATTGACAAAGACATAGGTAAACATTGCAAAGTCCTTTCCCAGCCTCACGCTGGAATCGGAGCTTTATGTCCTCAGCTCCTGGAGCATGGGTTTACATGGTACTTCAAGTCCTGCAGTCCTATAAAACCAGATCACCTCCTCCTTTCTCTGTTTTTATGGCTCCACAGAAGCCTCGCTCTTCCCTTAAAAATTCCTCCTCCCAGGAGATATTGAGTTAATGGAAGTTAGTGATGTTAACAATGGCATAAAGCGAATTGAGAAGACAACCATCCTTCATTTTCTGGCCTTCTCCTGTTTGTCCCGGTTGAGACCCTTGTAGTCCAGCCATCTCAGTACCTACAAAGTGTTTCAAGCACAGTCCAGGGGCTCAGTCTTCCAAGCTTTTCTCTTCCATGAGTGTGACATAAGGGGGATTCATGAAGAGCCACAAATTGAAAGAAACCATAAAATGTGGCTTTTTCATAAGGCAGGATGAAGGAACTGTGAAGAAAGGTAAGGTTTGCCATGCACTGAGCCCCATTCTGGGTCTACAATGGAGACACAATCATCAACAAGAAAAGGTAGCTGAGGCTGCCATGGACTTGTTATAATTAATAAAAGTTTGCCTAAGGGAAAATTGTTTTTCCTGAGAATAAATGACTCACTCTGCTCTTGAAAACATACAAAAAGGATGAAGTTGGTGCATCTCCACAGAAGCACCTTATGCTCAAATCTAACCATTTATTTGTGGTGGTGTCAGTTCACATCATGCAGAGCTTCTAAGAGCTGATCAGCTCCACAGTGCATTTGACTGGACAGTGTTGATTACACATGTGCAACATTTTAAAAAAAACCAAACAAACACCATACCTGGCAACAGCCTCTTTGTGTCACTGTTCATTACCAATATTGCATTAGCAGATGGCTTCATGTGGCTTAGCATATAACATAGCAAATGGATATGACAGTTTTCAGGACAGAGGAAGCACAACATAAATACAGCATATCACTTTCACAAATACAGGATTTTCAAAACTCTGGCAATATTATAAAAATAAGCTTCATATGCAATTAAATACAAATAACTGGACTTACAGTATTGTACAGTATTTACTGTAGAATAATTCTTGATAGTGCTTTGCCGAGCTGAATTTATTTACAATAGTCTGTAAAGAGCAAATGCCATTTCACTCAAAGCTAGATGCATGAAAGAAAATAGAGAAAAGAGAGATGCTTCTTTAAGCTAAATACTGTCATATCCAATGTCAAAATTTAAGTGGCTTACAACCATTCATAAAATTCTTGTTGTGGTGAAGTTTGTTTTTTCAGTTACAGTATCAAAGAGGCCAGCTTTTTAAGAAGGAAGAAATGGCAGCTGTTTCCCATAGACGGATTGTTTAGGTGCCTACACATGGATTTGCAGAGCAGCCTTAGGCAGACTTTCATGACAAGCTCAGTCAGTACTTTAATTTCATTCATGCAGAAGAAGCAGGATCCAGTATAAAATAATTACTTTACAGTTATGCTTTTAAACAATAGGCTTCAATCTTTTTTATATTCCAATCATCTTTCACACCCAAATCTGCTTTTGAGTGTAGCTGGGAATTAACTGATCCAATTTAACAGTACTACTAGTCATAACACAATTGCACCCCGCATGGCCTCTGACACCTGTTTGATCCTCCTGCAGCTTTTGACTACCAGAGGGAATAGCCCCAAACTTAAGATATTTGAAAAACAAGGCAAAGAACAACCTTCTTCCTAACTCTGTCTGTTTTTATTTCTTCTTCAATTTATCACATACTTCGTCTATTAACTTCCACAAATTGGTAATGAGGAGTTTCGTAATGACTCCTAGTGTAGGGCATCAAGATACCACGGGCATACACATCATCATGTGTAATAGCGTGTTAATACACTGAGGTCAGCAGGAATGAAGTAATAAAGCAGTCAAAATATAGAAGCTTTCAATCTGAGGCATTAGGCAACCAGTTTTATCAAGTCTCCCTTTCGTAAAGCTCTGGAATTGCAACTGCACCGAGGAGGTAAGAGAGGAGGACATGCCAGCAGCGTCAGCACGGCAGCAGCACCAGTGCTACTGACTCAGAAAGAAAATGATCCCCTGGTGAGATTTCTTCCAACCACTTCACACAGTCCTACTCCACATATCGAACACAAAAAGCAACAAAGCAGCAGCCGATCAGTGCCACTGTAGATGCCGAAATCACAGTGACGGCACTGCCAGCAACACTAACCAAGAGCCCCAGGCCCACACCGAGAATGATCTGGGCCAGCTGGACCATGCAGGTGAGAGCAGCACAGTCAATGCCTTTCCCTCGCCCGTGCTCACCAGCTTGTTCCCCATCCTGCAGCTTCAGGCTCTGCAAATAAACACAAAACAAAACCCAGTGAAATGAGACAGCACCGATAACGTGCAGCTCTCAGCCAATGCACTGTCACGACCCCCAGGTGCAGCAAGACAGGCCAATAGCTCTCTGCTTCCTTTCTGTTTTTTTCTGCTTGTGCCACAGAGGTTACGGAATTCAAACAGAGATTTTACAAGTGATAATGAGTTTTCCAAGCTCCTCCTAAATTGTCCCGTTTCTCCCGTCCACAATTTTTCCCTCTATCCCTTCTCTCAAGGAACGAATTGAAACTTGATCAGAAAAATTAGCCGTTTCCTTGAAGTTCAGGTCTATTTGAGCCCTGGAAAACTGTCATTTCACAGTACAGGTCACCCCGTCATGGATAATTTAGCTCCAACTCTCATGGTTGAAGGAGAGCCTCAAAGGGATGTTAAGATGAGTCATCCTATGTGCCACACACGTACAGATCATAATTCATTATAATGGAGCACTGTGCTCTGAAGTTACGCCTCAAAGCACATAAAGGAGTTCAGTACTAAAATCTAAATGTAATGCTTTTATTGCTGGGGAAAAAAAATAATCTGAAAACAAATGTCCAGACTAGGATTCTTCTACATTACAGAAGACCATTATTAACTACCGATTATCTGTATACCTGCTATGATATATATAGCAGGGCAAAAGCCTTCATTTATTATATACAAGCATCTCATACATAAGCACCCTGTGAGGGTAGTTGATCACTGGAACAGGTTGACCAAAGGGTTTGTGGAGTCTGCATCCTTGGAAATATTCAAACCAGACTGGACATGACCCTGGGCAACCTGCTCCGGGTGGCCCTGCTTGAGCAGGAGAGTTGGACTACATGATCTCTGGAGGTCCCTTCTAACTTCAGCTGCCCTGTGATTCCCACCAGGAAGGAACTATTCTGTTTTGTTGGGAAATTACATGATAGTTTACATATTTATTGTTCTTCTTGCATAGACTGTTGAATGGAGAAGCTTGTATTGTAACAAACAAGAGGTTTCCATGATGTAGGCTAGCTGTGCTGTTGTCTTCTGGTATCCAAACACTCTCGGCCATTAAGATGCTTTTTACTTTTTGCAAGACCTATTACATTGCCTTTGAGCTGTTACCACACAAAGCTCAAAAGTACTGGAGACAGTCTCTTCCTAATCTAGTAGACAAAATTGAATTTGGATCCTCGGGGACAGCAGCATGGAACAGGAGTTGAAATGGCAGCATTTTAAAACCCAGCACATGATTTTGGTAGAACGCATAGTGAGAAGAAAATGTCTGCTCTTTGTTCTGGAATGATACAGTCCTTTCACCTGAAGTATCTCCAATTCTAGACACAATTTTTTTGGAATTAAATCTATTTTGCTGGGCTGTGCCCAGTGTTCCTATGTGCCAGTAGTTCTGACCACAATTATATGAATGTGTAAATGAATGCAATCTTGCACTTGACGTTTCCTCTTTATTTTTTCTATCTTGTACATTATATAAGATTTGAGCTAAACCTGATTCTGTTAATATCAGATCTAACATAGAATTAGATATCGTTTAACATCTGGCATAGCAAGTACCATACATCAAACAAGAAACAATTGGTTGTCTTACAAGTAACATTTGAATATATTAGCCTATTAAATATAAAGTCCATGCCTACTCAGCATATTTTATTTCACTTCTGTCTTGGAACAGCTCTGAGTCAGAGCTAGACTACAATTTTGCCTTTACTCCCTCTCTGTGAGTTGGCTGGCCCGAGGTTAGGAGTGTGATCTCACTCTAAACTGGGTTCATTCCCTGTCCTTTGTTATATCTTTCTAAAACTCTTCATCATGATTGTTCTCTGTTGGAAGGAAAAGAGAAATTAACTGAAAAATTAGGAATCAGATCTATTAAATATTTATCCACATTCATAGAATCATAGAATCATAGAATCACTAAGGTTGGAAAAGACCTCTAAGATCATCGAGTCCAACCGTCAACCC